GGGCACTTTTTTTTAAAGGGGGGGGGGGGGGGATGTTACATCCCTGCGGAATGTATTTTTCCATTTTTGCTAATGTTTATCTTTGCTTGTTCTTAATCAGCTAAGTAAAGTAAGAATCAATTAAAGTTAAGTTCCATTTAATTATTATGTTATATTTTACTATTCTGTTATGCTAAGATTTATTACATCTATTAAAGTTCTTTATATTCATTAAATCCATTAAGCGTTAAATTTCCTATTAAGTACTATATCCTCTATCATATGTTGTTATATCCCTTCCGGCATATATCTTTCTTTTGCAAATTATAAGAGTAAGGTAGTTCTTAATTAATCTCTATTCTTGTCTCAATATTTAACTACATACCATTGCAATAATTTAATCATTTATAATTTTAATTTAACATTTTATTACATTACGCTTTTGCGTTCTCCATATCAATTATATTATGCGTTACATTGTACTCTTTTTGCGTTGACTATGTTCCGCTGTATTAACTGCATTTATATTAATCATATTCTTTTAATATTAATTATCACTCTTCTACACAGGATTTATCGAGATTAATAGTCCTTAAAAGTATACTCTAAGTACATATTATTATAAGGCTATACATAAGATACATTTTATATGCGACCGTATATTTTTATTATTGCAATAATTAATAAGTATGGATTATAATAAGAATCATTGTAAGCTTCTACGCGAATTATCGCGTTCTCCTCTTTGTGCGGATCTTCGTTCCGCAAGGCTTCCTCAGCAGTGCGAGTTATCGCGCTCTCCTCTTTGTGCGGATCTTCGCCCCGCTATCCCTTCCTTAGCGGTCCCCACTTACGCCGCCTCAGCAGTCCCCTCCACTCTCCAGTGGGCCTCTTGCGCTCTCTCCTTTATGCGGATCTTCGCTCCGCCCAGTGTTGCCAGATCAGGAGATTTCCCCCTAAATTTAGGGGATTTTTAGTTGCATCAGGGGGACTACAGGGGGAAAATTATTTAGGGGATTTTTTTAGGGCATTTTAAAAATTTCTGGAGAAGTTTTTATATATTATTTCTTTTAATTTTTATTTATATTCCAGGGTGTAAGTTCCGTTTCACGCATGATGCGCATAATGTGTGAAGCGGAACGCACCTATATATATATATACATATATGTATATACTATATATAATTTTTACAATAAAGATAAAGGAAGCTTTAACAAAGTCTGACTTAAATGTCTAATTCATAGCTCGATAAAATATCTAAAATCTTAGTGTCGTCTTCATCTAATATTTCATACACTGTTTCGGAATTAAATAGTTTCAACATATTTGTTGTGGGTTTGAACTTGAAGCATTCAGCATCGAGAGTACAACGAACGTGTAAAATTGACTCAACCATCTTAATAGACATTCTATTACGTAGTTTGTCTTTGACAATATTTACTATAGAAAATGCGCGTTCGACTGCTGCATTTGAGAAGGGTAGACTAAGCAGTCCGAGAACTAGCTGTGTTATATTTCCAAATTTTTTATTTCTTCCTGCATCTACAAGCTCGTTGAGTTCGATCCAATACTTTTCAGTACAGACAAGTTCGGTAACTTCGGCTCTATGAAGCAAATTCCATTCAGTCACAGTTAAATCAATATTATTACACAGATTACGTTTGAATTTGCTAACAATATTTGTGATATCGGGTTTTACCTGTGACGATGCGAATTTCGGCGCAAATATTGATATTTCATTAAGTATTTTTATATTATCAGGAATTCTCTTTTGTAGTTCTGATATTAAAGTAAACAAAAAAATCTCTACAACGTTCTTTAACTTGCACAACTAAGCTTTGATGGATGTTAGCAGCTAAAATGTTAAACTCGTACCCAAAATTGATGCACTCGATAGACATACAAAAACGTTTGAATTCGAATTTTGCAAAATCATATTGCGATATTTTTTTTAGTTGCGACGGAATGACGACCATTTGAAGAAGTGAATATATAGAATCATTCAAATCTTTAAACAATTTAACCGGATCAGTAAAATCATATTAAAATAATTTGTTTAGCTTCACGATGTTTTGCAGAGTCGAACTGACAAAATTCAAATACAATTTATTCTCAGGCGTTGAGAACATGCTATGTAGTTGAAAAGCTGTATAACAGCGTTCTTTGTTACTTGCTGTAATTTTAAAATGTAGCTGTAGTTCATCCCATTGATCGAGAATAGCATTAATAGCCTGGAGCCTCACTAACCATCGAGTGTTTGATAGCTTAACAATCTTTTTAGGTATATTATTATTGAGAGTACGAAAAATGTTTGCATATTCGAGTTGACGTTTACTACTAACGGAGAACCATGTATGTGTTTCGCGTACCATAAAATCAAGATGTCTTGGCAAGACTTTACAAGCTTCTTCAGCTGCGAGATGTAATGAACGACAAATACACTTGATCACAATAAGATCGGGATTGATATTCCGCAATATCGTCGTTACCGAATGATGTATACCAACGTTTACACTGGCTCCATCAACTCCTAGACCTAAGAGCTTCTCCGTCTTCAGATTATCACGTTTCAATTGCTGCAAGATGGCTTCTACTATAGCATCAGAGGTACCTGCTGTCATTTCAATCAAGCGATAAAAAGTTGTTACAATCTTTTTCTTTGACTGACTGAAATATCGAATCATGAGACAGAGGACTTTTATCATGTTTCGTCATAGATTCATCGATAATTAATGAATAATTCGAATTTCCAATGTCCTCGAGAAGATCTTGCACAATACATGGTGATAGAATATTTTTGATTAGAGCTGAACATTTCGTCCGATGCAGTTTTATATTTTGTAGGATTTCAGAATCCTTGTCAAGCTGTTTGATCAGAACAGCGAGATGGTCGACAGCTTTTATGGAGAAATGTTCTGCCACATAAACAGCAATTTTCAACTCAGCTACCTTTCGTTTTTCCGTTAAAGTCATTTTCGCAAATTTATCAAGTTTTGGTAATTGAAAAATGATATTTCGAGCTTTTATACAATTCTTGTGTTTCTTCGATGTAGCATGTTCGATCAGTCCTTTTTTGTGCGCATTGAGAATTGTACTACAAAAGGCACAAAACGCTTTGCTCGAATTTCCATCTAATGACGGTTTTAACCAATCTATATAATTAAAGAATAAAAGTGATTAACTTTTTAAAACGAAGTATTGTTAAAATTGTATTGAATTTAGATTATATCGACTTTTCTGTTTAGTAATTATTTAATTGATTAGATTAAATTTATTGTGAAACTAACCTTTAAAAATTGGTTCTAACTCCCAATCTTTTATGTACTTTAGTACATATTTTCTCACTTTTTTTTGGCATTTTAGTTTTCACTTCTAAAAATAGAACTTCGTACACTCTTGTTATTAAATTATAAATAATTCTCAAGAATGAATAGACTATCTCATTCATAGTAATTCCCCTTAAATGCAGTCTATTGATAAAAGAGGGCGCAAATATGTATACTACAAGGAGTCGATAGTCTGTTCGCGTTGCTTGCACTTTTTGCACTCAACATCTTCGATTCAATAAAGTCTGTTCGCGTTATATGCACTCAGAAGCTTCGCATTCTTCTCTTTTAACGCATAAATATACGAGTATACCTATTTTATTTTAATTTCTAAAATTTGTTGAGATTTCAAGCAACCCGAACAAACTTTTAACTTCAACTTTATTTTAAATGCAATAATTTTTTGGAGATTTCAAGCAACAACTATTCATATATATATATATATATATATATATATATATATATATTTCCACTTATCAAGTTTTTGTTCTAGAGAAAAAGTTATATATAATCAATACTCTGAATCTTGATTCTGTACCTTGAGATGATGATTGAAGATGAACGGATCTATTAGGTGACTAATGAAATTATAAATATCCTTATAAATTCGTTCATTTTTTAGTTTTTATCAGAATCGATTTTTGAAATGCTAACTATGATCAGGAGCTATTTTGAAAGTTTAGGGGATTTTAGGAGATTTTGGTAGAAGATTTTTAGGGGATTTTTAGGGCTAAATAAAATACATTTAGGGGATATTCATGCGGACCATCTGGCAGCACTGGCTCCGCCGGCCCTTCAGTTCAACTCCGGATCTCTTACTGTCAAGACGTGTTCAAGTGTAGCCGTCAATCCTTGCTTAGTGCATATTCTCTCTCCGAGTTACTCCGCTTCATCAGAGGCGTCAAATTCCTTCAATATCCAACTCCATTCAATTTAATAATTAATTTTATTGTACATCCTACACTGTAAGTGATTACATCACGAGTTTTAATTAATTTTATATTCCATACGATTGTTAATCAACTAATACTACTTATAATTACTTAATTCTATTAAATACAATTTATATTCATCATTAGCGATTATCGTTGATTGACATCAACATTTATATTACAATATAACTAAAGAATATTACCAAAGAACTTGTTAAACAACTCTTACACTTTATTGTTTAGTTCTTCCCCGCGCACCTCACCCCCCCTCATTGCCCCATGAGTCTGAATCGGTGTACTATATCTACTTTTAGTTATACTTAATATTTTGTATCTTTATATGAAAATATATCCATTTAATTAACTATTAATTAACTTTGAAGACTCATTCATTGCAATATATTATCCTATCCTTTGTCCGCATCGAACCTGTCAGTGCGCGTTCGTGAGATAAGCGCGCGTTATCTGCAGCCGTAACATCAACATCGCAGCTAGTCATTCTTATCTCTTGTCGCCCTGGGCCTGTTGATCGCGTTCCAGCCTGGTGACGTCAGCCAACTACGGACAAAGAGTCTACATACCTAGTGTACTATTAATCAAGTAAGTCTATTAAAAGGTTAGTGAAAACTGAAGTATTATACTGACGCGGTATCGTGTATTGCATTTTAGTAGCAGTTATTACGCGATTATTCAATCATAAGGTAAACTCTTTCATTATCGTTTAACGACATTAATCTTATACTACTTAACCCTTCAACGCCCAAATGTGCAGAATTTGCACACGGAATTCAGCGTGATGGTACTTGCAAAGTAAAAATGTAAAAAAATCGAGATGACCATATCCTACTATTTTCGGGGTCGCTCTTTCGAATGGCGTATGCGAAATTCTCGAAAAACGTCATTTTACACTACTTTTTTTAAAAAATATCCAAAAAACACCGATTTTTTTAGATAAATTTTTTTAACAAGAATAAGGAAACCGACTAACGGTCTACTAAGCCATTTACGGTCAAAGCTAGATCACTATGCTTATTATAATGTGTGAATTTTATATACCGCGTATGTAGTTCCCAATCACGTGCCGAAAATTTTTTCAGACTTACAACGCAACACTAAACAACTACCGCAGTAATATCACTTTTTTGTTAAATTGTTAAAGCACATCTAACAATTATTATTTAGATTCATCATTACTTTAACATTTAGATTGTCAAAATTTTAATATATGTCTTTCAACATATTATTAAAGATCTAATAAGATGCTATATAGAAGCATCAAATAACACAGGTCAACATTTGATCTACGCGTGAACGACGGAAGCGCATAGGTGCTGGTGGGGTTTTTGGGGTCGCTGATTACGATGAGAACGTTGTTTAACCTCCATCACGTCAGGTTCAAGTCATTTGAAGGTCAAGTGGAGAAAAAACCATCTGAAGAATCTGAAAAAATTCATGAATATGTTTTGGAGGCCAGTAAATCAGAATCTGAAGTCAGTTAACCTTCATAAGGTCAGGTTCAAGGTCATTTGAAGGTCAAGTGGAGGAAAAGGCATCGAACACATCTGGAAAAATTCATACGTATGTTTTCGAGGTGTCCTTGGTTTCCTTCACTTGAAGTTTTATCATATCAGGATGAAGGTTTTTGGTGGAAAAATTTTTAACTTTAAATACTTATATTATACAATTCTGTACATCTCAATGCATTACAATAACAAATTAATGTGTGGTTGCACCCAGGACACCTCCACGTGGTGACGGTGGGCAACGGAGTTATGCCACTATCCGGCGAAGTGCCTGGGTTAAGGCGTTGATGCCGTCATGGCAATCACAGAAAAATGTTTCGATGCAGGGGAGGGATACCCCAGTATCGGCGGCTGGTCAGGGTGGGAAAGCGGGCCCGCAGCCGTCGTCATCATGCGACCGTAGCTCTACATTGGTGGGAAACTTGGCCTCTGTAGAGTCAAATGCTACAAGTCAAAGTCCTTGCAGAAACAACCCGGACATCTTTTGTGTTGTTTGCGGGCAGTATACGACTAAAAATAAATTCGCATTATCAGAAATATTGCAAAAAAAATATAATGAATGCTTTGCAATCAAAAGTGATTCATTTGGGAATTGCTTTACTCCAAAAGTTGTCTGTAGTAGATGCCGCAATATTTTGATGGGAACAAGGAGACAGATATTTTCTTCTCCGATGAAGTGGAGAAAGCCATCAAATCACGTCTCTGATTGCTACTTCTGTTCTACTACTCTACTTGGTTATAATCGTAATAATAAAACATCGATCACTTATCCTCGCGTAGCATCGGTAACTTTTCCTGTATTTATTAATGCAGAATCGAATGACGATAGCATGGATATAGAAACAAGTGAACAAGAAGTTGTGACTCATGTAGACTATACAACTGGCGATGCGCAAATGCTAAATCAATCCTTCCATTCATCTGAAGAAGAAGAAATCGAAACTCTCAATATTTCATCAGATTCAGAAGATGAATGCAATACAAATCAAGGAAATATTTCCCAACCTGTTTTAAGTGATCTTTGTCGAGATTTGGGTCTTTCAAAGGAAAGTTCCGAACTGTTAGCATCGAGACTTAAAGAAAATAAATGCTTGGCTTCTGGAACGCACGTTATATATTACCGTTCAAGAGACAAACCATTTAGGAAGTTTTTTACAAAGACAAGTAACTTCATTTACTGCAGTGATATCAAAGGTTTGGTTGAGAAATTTGACATTGAATACATACCTTACCATTGGCGTCTTTTCATAGATTCCTCGACAAGAAGTCTGAAAGGTATCTTGCTTCACAATGGGAATGTATATGCCCCTTTACCTGTTGCTCATTCTGTTGTAATGAACGAAGAATATCATGATTTGCGTTTGTTATTATAAAAATTGAAATATGATAAACATAAATGGGAGATTTGTGGCGATCTGAAGATAACTACTATCATGCTTGGTCTTCAAAAAGGATTCACGTCATATCCTTGCTTTCTTTGCGAGTGGAATAGTCGAGCTCGAGATGAACACTATGTGAGAAAAGTTTGGCCTCCTAGAATAAATTTCACTCCAGGCAGCAAAAATGTCTCAAGAGAAAGTTTGATACCAACACAAAAAGTTCTTCTCCCGCCATTGCACATCAAATTAGGCCTTGTAAAGCAATTTGTTAAAGCAATGAGCAGAAATCAAAGTGACGCTTTCATGCACATCTTTCAAATGTGTCCATCGCTTTCTGAAAGTAAAATAAATGAGGGTGTTTTTACGGGACCTCAGATAAGAGAGATGCTAAAAAATGAGGAATTTGAAAGACTAATGACGGATAAAGAAAAAGCTGCATGGCAAAGCTTCAGAGAAGTGAC